AGCAGATTACTCTGTATGTTTTCAACAACAGATTTTATGAAGGAAATAAATCTCTTTTATTAATATTGTAGTTGTAAGAAAATATCAAAAAAATTGTGAACTGATGCAATTTGTGAAAATCAAGAACTTCGTTGAAAACCAGCCCTACGTCATCCTTTACAGCATCTTTTACGCTACCTGAGAAATTAATAAAAAATCAAATACTTTTCTAAAATTTCTCAAAAAAACTGAAATGTTGGATTTTTTCTCAGATAGAGCTATGTACGCTTATACGCGTAGGGGTGTTGCAGGTTTGATAAACGGATATTGCATTTTTTTTGCACATTCCTGTATTTCTTCCTATCTACAATATGGAAGATGAAGATATTTTCTGAAGGAAAATTTCTGTTTTCAAAATTAGATTTAAAATAATTGGAAAATGGGGGGAGTGCCAATTGTTTAGTAAAATTGGGACAACTACAAAAAACATACTTAATTGTTTATAAACAAGCTTTTCTAAAATGTGCAAAGTTTTTAAATTCTTCCGCTCGAACCCGGCCAATTTTCATTCAAACCATTGGATTTTCGCAAATTGAATGTGTTCAACTCATTTTAGAGCGCCAGGAAGGCTTTTACGGCGGCTCAGGCGTTTGGTGAATGCCTATCATAGCCGATCAAACCTGAGTAATCCTGAGAAATCAAAACTGTAAGATTACAGATTTCGTGATTTAAGTGATTTACGCGAAACAGTAATAAACCATATGATGGACGATAGTTTTGTTCTAATTGAAAATTTCCCGGGAGTGAAAACATAATTATTTTCACAGAAACGATTATTGTGATCCTTCTGTTTAACAGGTAAGTCCTCCTAACGATTTATAAGAAGTCATCGACACAAAACATCGTAAACATGATTCCAAGAGGAACTCTACACCATGTTGTATCGTCATGAACCAAATACCCCTTCCTGTGATCATTAACCTATCACAATTTGTCTTTTTCCTTTTCCTTTCAATTTGTCCTTTGACAATTTATCATGATGCATTAGCAATTATAGTACTTTCTAAAAAATTATGTAATTAATAATATTGAGCCCTTTTTCCTTAGTTCCTCTAAAACCACAGTCACATTACCGATAACAAAATGATATGACCATATGTTCATTTTACGCCGCTGAAATGAGACCCGAAATTAGTGAAAAATGTTAGTACGTCATGTCTTAAGTGTGAACTCCATTAGTCCTGGCGTTATTTTAGCTGAATAGTTTCCACTCCTACATTACTTACGTCTTTCACGCCCTAAATAAGACTCGATAAGTGTTTAATGCGATGTCGGATAACAGAACATTAGCAGTAGGTGCCCTCCTTTATATTCTCCTAAGCAATAGTTACTTTCCTGTGACAATCGTGGACACACGACTAAATCTACTGAATACCGTACGAAAGAGTTCGTCTCTTCGCAATGGTCCGAATCTCGCTTTCTATGATGGTGATAACGATGGTCGTGCTGCTGGTCATCTTAAACGTCGTTGCGGAAGGATATCGCCTGAAGAATAACCTCGCATGGCAGGAGCGTGCCATACGTTCCACCCAGGAAAATGATCAAGACATACAGCAGTTGTTCAGTCAATTAACTAGAATTGCATACAAATATTTCAAGAATTTGATCGAGCAGTACTTTCCTAGCTTGACAAATGCTATATTTGGCAACGTAAGTATTGTTGGTTCTCAGTATTTCTTAAAATTTAATAGCTTGGTGCAAGATAATGCTTCACCACAAAAAAAAAATTGTATGAGAAAACTAATTTTAGGATTCAAAAAGCTCCGTATAATCAGAACCTTTCAATAATTTTGCTCTCCATAATTATCATTAGAATCTATGTATAATGAAGATATAAACTAAACATGCAAACTATGAGTCTCCGCGTTTGAATATGCAGCGTGGCAAATACATAATAGCTTCTCAGTTCATAGCTCGGAGATGCTGAGGAAAAAAGAAAACTGTCTCATCATCAAACTGTACTGTGTGGGTTGTTCTAATTGTTCTAATGTTCGTATGTTGACTTGATGCGAAGAATGTAAACTTTATGCCCTGGCACTAAAAAGGAGTGAATTTAATATATGGTTTTCTCATACATCTGAAAAAGTTCTTTTAATGAGGAACTATCTTATAATTTTGTTAAGGAGTTTTGAGGGTCCAATTGAATTGAGGACAGAAACCTTTCGGGAAGGTGTATCGGTGTTTGCCGATGCGTGGAATCTGGTGGGCTGTGGATACTTCTTTCTTGAAGGAGTATATAAGGGGTGAAAATGTTCACTATGTTAATATAATTATTAAATATTCATAAGATACTGTTTCTATTGGTCTAAAACTATTTATTGTAACAATAACATCACCATTTCTTAAATTTATTTGTATTTTAATTTAATCTCTTTAATTTAATTTAAAAATTATTTACGCATATGTTGGAAATATAAAAATATATGTATTAACATTACGTAACACTGCTCAAATAATTGAGAAAATATAAAAAATATTTAGGGGCCGATAGATAACAGCTGGAAAGAGGACGATACCGGAAAGCTAGCATATACCTCAAAAGATTAGAAAATTTACTAGTGCGAGAACGTCTGTGCCGATCTGTAGAACCACAACTTTAAAATAATGTTATGTATCTTATCTTGAACGGGTAATTTTTTTATTTGGGCGAGGTTTGAATATAATTATGGTGTGATGTGGTGATGTACTGACTTTTGTGAAATATTGTAATTGAGATAGTTTATAATGCGTTTTGTTCCTTGGAATAATTTTATAAAGTTCCTGAGTTATAATGATAGTTCGACTCACCTTGGCAAGCCCCAGAACAAGAAACCGTGGTTCATTGACGAAGCGTTTCTCAACATTTTTTCTTGAGCAGTAGGCGGTGGTGTGTGATTTTTTTTATTTGCATACAGTATATGTAAGTACAGTATAGAACGTAGTGTAAAAGGTACCGTGGCAATGCCCAAGAGAGTTCACAGAATACATGGATAAGAAAAAATATAAACAAGTCAGTGTCAGTAGCAATTATATTGGTAAATAAAGAAGTAAGGTAAGGTAATAATAGATAAATTATTTACGTTTAAATAAAAATAACAATCCACAAAGACTTATAGGAACCAATGGAAACCCCAGAAGAATATTTACAAGTTAGAGAAACTTTTCAGTCGGTAGATAGTCAAGGTCATGCGAAATGAGCGGAAAAAAGTGCAACGACTCTCTCAGTTGAGAGACTTACCAGAGGAGGAGCGAGAGTGAATATTACTTTTTCGGTAGACACACGTTTGTCAGAATAAATCAGTTGAAATGTAAGATTCGATAAATTCTGTGAATTATGGAAGTTTTGGTGATAAGAAAAGCAGTTTCTGTACGGAAAATCCATTAAGAATTGCATCCATATTGGCAACCATAGAGCAAACACGACGAAAAAAAAAATTATTTCGATCGCTAGAATAATTGAAGACTAATGGTACGCGTATCGATTCAGGGTTTTAAGAAAATATAATTTAATGATAAATTTGTTTATTATATTGTTTTGAAGTTGTGGTAGAATTTGTGTTACGAATTATTTGTTTTCATGATATTAACTGAAAATACCTCCGTTTCCTCGTAATTTGGAACAGAAATAAAAGCAAAGAATTGACCAGTGAAATCAAAGTAAAATTTGATTTAAAGTTATCAGTGTAACATTTTTAATATACAATTGGCCGTATGACCTAATAATTTTGCAAATATTTATATCACAGGAAAAGATAATGAAGTTGCCGGTCGCCGTTTCAAGGCGTTTAAATTTTTAGCACCTCAGCGTGATGTTAAAATAATTGTGCCAATATTATTGTATCGAAGATGGTTACTTGCGGTCGATATGCCTCTTTACAATAAAAAGGAACATTCTTAGTATATCAATTGGAATTAATTGTTCACCATAAAAATTCAACAAACGTTTTATATCTCTTTTGTCATTTTTTCCACATTACTCATTGCTTCTCTCTAAAAATATTTTTATAAGCGTATGAAACTACAAAAAAATTATATGTATCACTTAAGTAGTGTTCAATATTACTTTTTAGTAAGTAGTCTAAAGTCGTCTAAAGTAGAATATTCTTGATATGCCACTCATGATTAAATATATTAATGTTGTTCTCAACTGCTGTAATATCTATTCTCTAGTTTCAGAAATAAAAGTTTGTTCAATTTTTTACTCGTCATACAAAAAATAGATTGAAAAATATAACATTGCGGTTGTTCAAAAGCTCAGTTATATCTGTGTCTTGATGCAAGGCGGGTCAATGTCAATATTCCAGGTTTTACCGAATGGGTTGGTTGATTGATTTCTTTTTTCTACCTTTTTTTTAGCTGAAAGGTAACCTTCACATCCACATATTCGACCACACACTAGACACCAACACACATGCAGGCTCCTCCGATATGGGATCAGCAGAACGCGAGATCCTCCGCGATAACACACACATGAAAGACAAGGGACAAACAACCATGCCCAAGGCAGGACTTGAACCGTTCGGTCCGAAGCGCTGAGTCGGTTCACGCTCTTAGCCACCCCGGCCATCCAGGTCGGCTGGGTGGTTTTCTTACTTCATCGAAATGACAAAAGCGTTTGTAAGCCAATTTAAACTAATGTGAAATTAGGAGATAAGATCAACTTTTGACTTTGCACTGAAATAAGGGGATTTAAAGCACACAATGGCCTTACAAACTGAAAATCACTAAAAATTGACATTGGCCCTTCATGCACCAAGCCACAAATATCATCACATGAGTAATAATAAACAAACAATTCTCATTTTAATTTAAAGATACTTGATTTCGTTGTATGACATTACATGTAATGTTTTACCTCACTTTCAAAATGTTCATTAGAATTCGATGAAATTCAGTTATATATCTGAATATCCTTCAGTGAATGACTAAAATGCTAATCCCTTGCCGAGCCTATGATTTTATTGTTGATTTTATTGTTTCAGATTCCTACAACAACAATTTCTGCATGAAGAACCATCGTTACGGAATATGGCAAAACATAAATATATGGAAATATTCACACTGACAATTCATGTGATATACGTCATGTACTCAGACAATAAATGCACTTGGTAAATAATACATTTACTTCTCTTATTTCTCTTAATCCTCTTATTAATAAGTAACCTGGCGTACCAAAATCTATTTATTATTAGTGTTGCACGCACACGTTTGCACAGAAAAAGAAAAGTAGTGACTATACTAGATTACTTCGAGGGATGAGTAATAAATTTATGGCCCAATATTTCGAACGATTATTAAAGATTTTGTTCTGAAATATGTAACAGACCACCAATGCAAATGAAACACGCGCCATCTGTTGCACATGCGTCTCCTCCAAGAAAAGATTGCGAGATTGGAAAAGCGACTCCTCTAGTCTCTTGACTGATGGGAGCGTCTCACGAAACTGCTCCAGTGCGGCCTACTGGTAGTTCTATGCACTAAACTGCAATCCGAACTCAGTGTTACTGTCCACTTCTTAAATAATATGACGACATTTTCCCAAACTATTAGATTTCCAAATTATATCATTGTATATAATATTTCAACTATTGGATTGCATGTATTATTACTATTTAGATTTTCTACTTCATGAATTTTCAGGTATCATTAGAATTTTAATAACTTCATACCTGGGATAAAAAAACATACAAAATCCGAAATGGTGGGGGACATGCCCTGGAGAAATTGTCTTGGAATGATGCAGAACCATTCAAGCATTAAGAATTTGATTCGGGCATCCGAAAAGCTCCTGTAGGGCAGCTAGGTTGAGGGGTGCACAGAGAATTTTTGGTCGTTTCAAATGTTCACCGCATTTGTAACACTTTCAAAATGTATTGTAGGTGTCTAACAACGAGCAGACAATTAACAAACGGGACAAATAATTTTTGAAAAAGTTAAAGATGACGTAGTTTGATATGTCCTGTTTGTATTCTGGAAAATACGGCCTCACCTACGAGTAATTTGCTTATTATTTTTTAAACACTAATCATTCTCTTCTCATCTCAAAGGAATATAATCAACTATAAAATATTGTGAATGTAAGAGACGTAGGCCACCGCTCGACATGTTTGCTTCGGGCAGCGGTGGAGACTCACGTCGATAATCGGGGCTCGATTACCTTATTTCCCCAAGGGCGGCGCTGCGGCGCGCTCGCGGCCATTTCATTAGCTGTCCGCAAGGTCGAAGTCTCCTCCGCGATACGACGTAATCAGCCTTTCCTCATTCTTCTACGCCGCTGAGGCGACGTCCCAGGTCACACTGCAGACGCCAAATTCAACTTCTTCAAGATTATCTTCACGTTTCCATCTTCGCCCCACTGGAACGTACATCACACTATTAATCGCGTAACTGTTCTTGAACAATGACCTTGCTTTCGCCTCTCTGCCAAAATGAACTGTTAAAGGAAAAAGTTTGCAGGGAGCAATGATGGCTACATTCCAAACACATCTTTACTGGCGGGAAATAGAAATTATTTTCTGTTGAAGATGAGAATGACTATGAAGATGCGTTATTTTCTCCCAAAATTATAATGAAGTGACCGAAGCAGGTGATGATCCATCACTGGAGATGTCTCATACTCCTGAGAACGTTAGAATGCAAATTATTAAGAAAGCCGGTCCGGATGGCCGAGATCGTTATGGCAGTAAGATCACGGGTTCGAGTCCCGCCTCAGGCATGGTTGTATTGTGTTCCTCCTTTCACCACCTATCATTTTCATAACATGTCATCCTCATAGTAACTATACCGGTACACGCAATAGTGGTCGCTAATGACCAAGAAGTTGATGCGACCTTAAATAACAAAAACAATTTTTTGGCATTGCTTCATAGAGATTGGCATTGCTTGACAAAATTTAGCGGCCTATTTCATAACTGATACCCCTCTACCCGCATTTCTTCAATCCATCGTTCAAGAAAAGTTGCGCGAGTAATACACTCTAGACAACGCGTGGCCCGCCGGCAGCCAGGAGCTCCTTCGCGAGGCCGAAGAAAGGAAGGGAAACGATGACTGACCAGAGGCATTGCCTTCAGGGGAGATTTCAGGAAGCAGAGGAACGCTGCATTAGGAGCAAATGCTATATAGACATCTTGGACATATAATAATTATAATATAATAATAATAATAATAATAATAATAATAATAATAATAATAATAATTATAATAATTATAATATAATTATTATAATTATAATAACTATAACAGATTATTAAGAGTAATGCTAGGAAACTACTTTTTGAATAGTGGCAAAGAAGGTGGAATGTGAACGCTAAAGTTAGATGGACATATCGGATAATCAATAACATTGAGAGATTGGTCGCTCGGAAGTATGGGGAGGTGAATTATTACGTATCCCAGGCTTTTACGGGACACGGTGGCTTTGGTAAATACCTTTACGATTACAAGATTAAAGAAAGTCCGACATGTAGCTTATGTCGAGAAGATATTGACGATGCAGAACAAGCACTGTTTCAGTGCAAGGCATGGGATGCGGAAAGGGAGATTTGTAACGTTAAGCTTCAACAAGTGATAACTCCAGGAAAGATTGTAGGCATAATGTTGAGTGCGGAAGAGATGTGGACTTTAGTAGAGAACTACTTAGTTAATATCATGAAGGAAAAGGAGCGGAGGAGTTAAAGCACTAGCTTCCAGTCAATCGTCCACGCGAAGTAATGTCTAGCGACGGTTTCCGCGTGGGGGAAATCACGACTTAGGAGATGAAAGTTTAGAGTTTTAGTCGGTAAACCAAGAACGGGAGTCCGGCAGTACATTACTGGCTTCACCGGTCTCCGTAAAGGATTTCCCCTAATAATATATAATACAATAATAATAATATATAAAATAATAATAATAATAATAATAATAATAAAATAAATTGTCTTTATTGTGGGTGATCTGGGCTGTCGCGGGTGACGCCACGTCGAAGGCTGAGTTGCGACGTTTCGACCATCCTGTCGTGGTCTCCTCAGGGCTGGTAGCTATTCAGTCCTGAGGAAGACACGACAGGATGGTCGAAACGTCGCAACTCAGCCTTCGACGCGGCGTCACGCCGGACAGCCAGATACACCACATGACTCTGATCGCGGAAGCCTACGACTCAATATTGTCTTTATTAGTGGCGAGTCTCAGGCTTAATGACGCCCGCTCTTCCGCCGAACTGTTCTCATTATATTAATGAGAGGCTCACTAAAGAACTAGTGACGTGACCTGGAAAATCTGCGAAAAATTCAAATTTCAATACCTATACAACACCCTTTGGAGTTCTGTGGTTTCTAGTAAACGTATTACGTACATACTTCTTATTATTACTGTGATTTTTTAGTTTATATTTATATATTAAAGTTCGTATTTTCGGAAAAAATGTTAACGTACAATACTACAAGAAATTCAAGACAGTGATTTGTTAATGTAATATCAGCATTTAATTGGAGAATGATAAGTACTTACATAATAAAGCACTTACAACACGAAGTCTGTAAGAACTTACAGACTTACAGACTTCGTGACCTACAACTCTTCATCAAAGTTCCATTGAGACAGTCAACCGAGATACGTCGTGTTCCGATCGCGTCCAGTAAAACAGTTGTTACGACATGGCCATTCAGACTGTGAGCTTAGTGACATTTACTTAGTGGTAATACTCTTGTCTCACGAGTTAAGAGACTCTGAAATCTACTGTACAGTCGACCGGTACAGCGGCTAACCTGCTTAAGGGTGGAGCCTCCGGACATCGGGGCCCTAATTACCTGAACACCGCCACCTCAGGTATCGACTCACTCAAATCTGAAAACTTACGCATGTCAACTAGAGAGTTTCCCCACCAAGGACCTGGCCATAATTATCGACTCGCAAGAAGGTCTCACTATTAAAGATTACATAACCAGTCTATCCGACATTCTTGACGCCTGTGAAATAAAGTTCATGTCAAGAATTGCAAACAACAGAGTGTGTATCTTTCTAAGCTCTCAAACTATAGCTAACAACCTTACGAACAACCATAAAGTTATTAAAATCAAATACAATTAACTGAAAATGAGACCACTTGTAACAAAAGCCAAAAGAATAATTATATCTAACGTTTGTCCCATCATTCCACAATTAGTAACAGAGAATCTTCTCACTACAAACAATATCAAATTGGCATCTAAAATTGTGTTTGTAAAAGCTGATATTCCTGGACAGGAGTTCTCCCACATTATGTGTTTCCGTAGACAAGTGTATGATGCCTTATTTACTGTCACCAAACATGGCATTTCATTGGACAATGCCCTTTGCATAACACTTCTAATAAGACTACCAATTTAGGCAGTGCTCCCATGGAATCTGTACACTTCAGGGATAAATCCCGTAACTTGCCAGACCTCGCAATCAATGGAAAAAACACTGAAGCTGCAGATATTCAAAGTCACAATTCAACTTACAAAAGAAATACCCACAACCGATCCCTCACCACAGTCTAAATCTGTATGTTCAACTAATGCAGCTAAAAACACTGAAGAAATCACCACAAGTACAACATAGCCTCCCTTAATAGCAATAAAAGATGCCTTCAGACATGCTCCTTACCCTCCTCCTCACCTACCATTGTAAGCAATACAACTGAAACAATTAATATGGAAGAAGAAGAAGAAGAAGAAGAAGAAGAAGAAGAAGAAAGAGAAAAATATGGAAGAGTTGATAACCCCTATCCAACACATTGAAGACGCTCAAAACAACTACCCCCTTACTTACATACAGTTCAAATCCTTTTAAGAGAACTCTTTCAGTGCTAATGATCCTATACTTATAGCTACTGACTACTCACAGGACACATCACCCATCACCAAAAAATTGCCTAGTTTATATCCTCATCTTACCAATAAATCCATAAAAGGCAGAAACACCTAGATTATCAAGATAATCAACTCAGTAATTTATACTGCAAATGAATCAAATATTGAAACAGACTCCAGTATAGAAATCAACACCAGTTAATGAAAATTCTTCAGTGGAATGTAAATGGTTTTTACCCCGGACTAGAAAGTATTCAGTAC